CCTTTAGCTTCCATTTCTATATGGCACAAAGTAAACTCTGTTGGGGAAAAAAAAATTAAGCTAATAATTTCGAGCGATGTGGCTAGGTTCATACCAGATTGCCGTGTTTCTCTGCTTTAGAATTTATACTACCTAAGAATATGAAGAAATAACTTAAATATGTAGCTGGAAAAATAAGAGGTGTTGGAGGAGGGATAAAGAAGGGAATGGAGGTGTGCCTGTACATGTGCCAGTCCCTACGGTGAATGCAGTCATTACGTACTGCACGCATACTCGTGAAAAGAAAAAATAAGTGAGTTGACGTGGTTAAAAATAAAAATGTAGTTGAAAATACATTTATTTTTTAATGAGGAAAATTATAAACGTAGTTGCTAAATGACATAAATAAAATCTATGTGTTTAACTTTTTATTTCATTTAAAGAGCATGTTTGCTGGCTTTCCCCCTACTCCTAGCCACATTGTCCTGATGCTTGCTGACGATATGGCCTGCAATCCTCGCAATCCCAAGCCAGCTACCGTGTTCAGTCACAAGAACATGGAACTGAATGTGTATGGAGATGACGTAGAAGTGGACTACAGAAGCTACGAGGTAGACTGGATAATCTGGCAACATTTTTGAAATGTTACTTTTAAGCATTAACACACTGAAAGAATACAATAACTTCATTCTTGTTCTTTAAATTCAGCATGTATTTGTCACTGAGCCTTGATGTGATTTGTCCCTGGAGTTTATATTAAGGAAATAATAAGTGAGCAAAACTATTAAAGCAAGAACATTTCTTATATGTATATAGGATAGAAAATCTTAATGTGGCTTTCTGTCTTACAGCATTATAGAGAGGTTTCACAGATCTATTCTTTTACAGGAAATATATTATTTGCTTTTTATATTTGATCTAAAATTTTGAGTTTAGTATTTTTAGTAAATATTTTAGTTATGAGAAAATAATGAGTAACATAAAAGCCATATTTCTACTATTTTCAGTGTTTTTCTGAATGTATGTGTAAACTATGTAAACTATTACATATATATGTAAACTATGCATATATATGTAAACTATTTTAACTATGTAAAAGTAAAAATTTAAATTAAAAAT